AAAAGGGCTCTTGTTATACCCACTGTACAATACTGTTCATTAAATTGCAACAGAAACTATTCCTTTTCTTTATCTCGTCTAGATTAAGGTGCACATTCATCTATACTTCTTATTTTGAAATATGTTTTTGTTTGCAATTTGTTTATAGTATCCAGAACAAAAGGTTCTCAAGAGCCTGAATCGCTCACCTGTAATTTTTTGCTGAAATCTTTCATCAATGATTATTTTTGCTTTTTAATATATATTAATGAGTGGCTTACAAATTCCATTGAGATGTTCTTTGTATCTGTCATATTTTCTTCAAAAGCAAAGAAATACATTTTTCCCCTATGTTCCATTTTAGCCATAGTGGCTATGTTTCTTGACGTACAAGAAAATAAAATACAAAATGTATACCAGATACTCTGAAACTCATTTGGCCCAAGTTTGGCTGAAATTGATTCAGCAGTTTCAAAGGAGAAGATTTTTTGAAGTAAACAAACTAGATGAACAAATTGTGAAAAATTGTCATTAAAGGGCAATAACTCCTTAAGGACACATTTGACAATTTTGGTAATATTAACTTATTTGTAGATCTTACTTTGCTGAACATTTTTGCTGTTCACAGTTTATCTTTATCATTAATAATATTCAAGATAATGACCAAAAACTCCAAAATTCCTTAAAAATACCAATTTAGTGGCAGCAAGTTGAAGCCAACCCAACAATGGACTGTTAGATTCGTCTGAAAATTTCATGGCTAATAGAACTTGGCCTCATGAACATTTTAACCTCTCATCAGATTTGCTCTAATTTCTTAAGTGTTTGAGATATATTAGCCAAAAACTGCATTCTACCCCTATGTTCTAATTTTAGCCATGGCGGCAATTTTTTTTGAAGAAACAGAAAATAAAACACATTCTTTATTCTAGATACCCTAAAGATCATTCAGCTTTGGAATGGTTTGGTTGGAATTGGTTCAGTAGTTTTAGAGGAGAAGATTTTTTAAAGTTGGGAAACATGATAAACAAATTGTGTAAAATTGTCCTCAAAGGGTAATAGTCCTTAAGGGGTCAATTGACAATTTTGGTCATATTAACTTATTTGTAGATCTTACTTTGCTGAACATATTTGCTGTTTACAATTTATCTTTATCATTAATACTATTCAAATAATAACTAAAAACTGCAAAATTTCCTTAAAATTACCAATTTAGTGGCAGTAACCCAACAATGGGTTATTAGATTCTTCTGAAAATTTAGGGGCTGATACAACTTAACCTAATGAACACTTTTACTCCGTCAGATTTGTTCTAACTCCTTTAATATTTTAGATATAAGCCAAAAACTGCATTTTACCCCTATGTTCTATTTTTAGCCATGGTGGCAATGTTTTTTGACGAAACAGAAAATAAAACACAAACTATATTCTAGATACCCTAAGGATCATTCAGCTTAAGTTTAGTTGGAATTGGTTCAGTGATTTCAGAGGAGAAGATTTTTTAAAGTTAGAAAACAAGATAAACAAATTGTGTAAAATTGTCCTTAAAGGGCAATAACTCTTTAAGGGGTAAATTAACAATTTTGGTCATATAAACTTATTTGTAGATCTTACTTTGATGGACACATTTGCTGTTTACAGTTCAACTTTATTATTAATACTATTCAAGATATTAACCAAAAACTGCAAAATTTCCTTAAAATTACCAATTTAGTGGTAGCAACCCAACAATGGGTTATTAGATTCATCTGAAAATTTCAGGGGTGATAAAACTTTACATGGCGGCCATATTTTTTGACGAAACAGAAAATAAAACACAAACTATATTCTAGATACCCTAAGGATCATTCAGCTTAAGTTTGGTTGGAATTGGTTTAGTAGTTTCAGAGGAGAAGATGTTTGAAATAGTTTACACCAGACGGACGACGACGACGGACGACGACGTACGCCAAGTGATGGCTAAAGCTCACAGTTCTTTTGTATATTGGGCATGGGATGACTCTGGACCATTATTTGTTAGCTTTGAATAACATGGAACTTTTGCCCAATGCTTAGGTGGAAACATACAATATTCCGTATTCGGTCAAATAATGTGCAAATTCGACACATCTCTTATATCCTGGCACAACCGACATGAACACGTATACCAAATAATAAGATACATCTTGATCCTATGAATGCTATGCCGAATAAAGTGTAAATACAAACAACTTGAACATTAAGTCAGCATAAATTACAATGCATAGTTAAAGTATGGTGAGTATTATTCAACCAGGTAAGTTTGCGATAAAATGGACTATCGAAATAAAGGTAAACGAATCAATCCTGCGCTAAAAGTCACTTAGTAGTTCACAATTTTTCGGCTTATAAAAGAGGGTTCAAAATATTGAACTGTCAATGTCCACAATGGTCAAAATTTAAAAAAAAGGTATGCCCTCTATGCCCCCTCACCCCTTTCAAACCCTAAATCAGCCTTTTATTTGTCCCAAATACTTAATAATTAGCATATTCAATCTATAAACAGTTTTATTAAGAAACAAAACAGTATAATAATGTTAACAGATAAGCAGTAGGATGACATGAGGTCATCTCATATAATAAAATTGTCTAGCTTTATCGTGTTTACCAACCACACCACTTTGAACAAGCTTTCTGCACAATTTGATATTTTGTGTCCATGATAAATCTACCAACAAATCATCGAAGTGGTTAGCGGGCTTCCCGGCCGTTGTGAAAAGCAGTACTTCAAACTCCAAAAAAGTAAAGAAACAAAAACAAGTTACACAAAACTAAAATCGCCGCCTTCCTGTTGATGACCTTTTTGACAACAACAATATGCAAAGCTCACCAAACGCCTTAGATCACCGATCCAGCCGTAAAAGGGCTAAATAGCCAGTCAATGTCGTAAAACAAAATCAACTGAACAGGAACAATAACCTAATAAATATTACCATTATGATATCATAACAGAGAAAGAAACTTTTTTTGTTGTTTTGATGGAAATAATACAAATCAAATGTTTCTCTATATAAAAAAAAGAATAAAATATTTCTGCTATATGCTAGTCTATATAGTTTCAAACACTATTATATACTATTCCACCGGTTAATAGGTTAATAATAATTTTTCTTGAATTTTGTCATACTTATATGACTTTGTTGTCTATTCGAACTGTTTAGACATTTGCATATGGAAACGTAAAACTAAAAAAATATCGAAAACGGTATGATCTGTATGTTTCTGTCGTAATAACAAAGTAATATCTAACTTACCAGGAGCAGTAAGAAAGAAAAAGAAAATCTATCTGACTTATTTAAAAAACTGCAACATAAAAAATTAATGCTATGGCTCGGTCGTCCTCTTTATAATCTCTAATTATGTTTTGTGTACGGTACTATATCTTAGTTAGCGTTTATTATACGAATGCGAATTTTTACACAAGGATTACAGTCTGTGATTACAGTAAATAGAATATTAACAAATACCACACGGGCAAATAGAACTGTGTATAAAAATAAGAAGATGTAGTAAAACTGCTAATGAGACAATTCACTAGCAGAGACCAAATGACGTAGACGTATGTCACTGTACGGCCAACAACAATGAGCAATACTCACAAAGCAAGTTGTTTTATTTGGTATGATAAAACACTTAATATTAACTTCTGTGGAGTTCACATCATGAAAGTGCAAAACAAAAACACCACATTTAATATATATGTAAGAAGATATGTGGTAACGTCAATGAGACAATTATCCAACGATATCTAAAGTTTCACACACTTATCAGGTATAAATCGCTTCGAGTTGAGAAAATTTTAACGGAGACTGCCACATATAAGCTTAATTGTTGAATGGCTAAACACGGTAAAATCTAACCACCAATTACCATTGACGATGTTTCTAAAATGTCAGATTGCGCATTTACATATGGGGCTTTCTCCATCAATTTAATAACAAAATGGGATACAGAAAATAAACAATAAAATCACTTTACTGTATAATGAAAATAACACTTAACAATTCACATTTAAACCATCTGTTTAATAGCTAGCAAAAAAAAAAACAAGTGCAGAGCATATAATACATCAAAGATATGTGTCAACTATAAAGGGAAAAAAATGTATTAGATAATTTTGAACAGAAAGGAAAGGGAATTGATTCATTAATTGCTGTTTGTATAACCTCAAGTTTCAAAATGTTCCTGTATGTTCTTGCTGTCTGTCATATTTGTTTTTCCATTATTGTTTTGTACATAATCCTGTTATAGCTTGAAAGAGCCGAATTTGTCATCGGGTTCGAACACTCGTTTATCGCGAAAAGTTTGAGGTGACCTTCGAATACTCATTTGCTGTAGACTGTTACTGTGAATAAAAATTTTGGGCGAAGAAATAATTTTTTGACATGAGCAAATGATGCATTAACGTAGGTTTGGAATCACGTATAATTTAGACAAGAATTTAGAATTACAATTTACAAGAAGAATCAAGATATTTCTATTTTTAAAGGGTAAGAAAAAAGAAAAATCTAAATTATTATTTTCTTGTTTTGCTCAAACAAATTATGGTTCCTTGGTTTCAATGACTGGGTTCAGGGTTTCTCATATAGGGTTATAGGCTCCTGAAGTAGGTACAATGGTTCAAAATACACGAGCACCGTATCCAAAGGAATTGTAGAGTTCTTGAAACTACTTCATTGTTTAAATTCGTATTGATGTAAAGACTACTAGTATCAGAATTTGTGGAAGTATGAAAAAGTTTTTACATGGTAGGTTAATAAAAGTATATACGTCTTTATTATCATTTTGCCTTAACGATATAGAAATAAATGTGTCATATTGTTTATTCTAATACATACTGTATTATTAATCAACTGTAACTTATTACGTTAGGTAATAGTATATCAGCACACATGGCCTTGTAAGGTGATTTTGAGTAATCTATTTTTAAAACTATTACTGTCAGCCCTTGAAACTTGAGAATGAAAAAAAAAGTTCACATGTACATGAGAAATGTTTAAGTGTCACAGTAAGCAGTAGATATTTTTAAATAGGAACTATACAAAAAGGATAAGCATAACCCCTGCGCAAGGATGACACGCACATTTTGTGAAGCGTTCTATATTTTTAAGAGAAAGAAAAAAGATAGAAATAACAAAATCAAAGGGTTACACAAATTTACAAATTGGTCAAATAAACAGTATTTTGTAGAAACGTTTCACTAAAGCATAAAAGGTTGCTTGACATTAAACCATTCTTATTTCACACATGTAGGTACATGTCCACCAAGATAGCATCGGAGGTACTTCCCATCCAAAACCTTTGTTTCTATCAATACGTATATGTCCTGAGACGTTAGGTTCACCTGGGAGCCACTTGAAGAAGGTCATAGGTGTACCATCGAAGAATGTCCATTTATTGTTTACATCAATTGTATTCGTTCCTTGTATACAAATACCAGTAGGATAGATCTTGTCAATATTTGCTGTAAAACATGAATTTCTGTTAAGGTAAATTTGTTCTAATTCATTGCTCATACCAAAAAGTAAAATAACAAAAATACCGAACTCCAAAGAAAATTCAAAACGGAAAGTCCCTTATCAAATAGCAAAATTAAAAGCTAAAAGACATCAAACGAATAAAAAACAACTGTCATATTCCTGACTTGGTACAGGCATTTCCTTTTACAGGAAATGGTGAAATAAACCTGGTTTTATAGCTAGCTTAACCTCTCACATGTATGACAGTCGCATAAAATTCCATTATATTGACAACAATGTGTCAACAAACAAACAGACATAAAATAGGTAAAAATGTCAAAAATAGGGGCACAACCGTCAACATTGTGTTATAATCTTATCAAATGGACATCGCAACCCATGGAAATGATTGGTGTTATCGATCATTTTTAAGTAATTACAATATATGTGATTGAGATCAACTACTTCCTGACTGTAGTTTGTAGCGATGTTAAAACGTTATCCCGCACAATAAAACAAATCATAGCTTACATTCATGACATTTATATTCAACAGTATAGAAATAGGAAGATGTGGTATGTTTGCCAATGAGACAACTCTCAATCAGAGACCAAATGACATAGACGTTAACAGCTATACTTATTTAATTAACGTTGTATTTCGGGGAACTCATATTTGTAGTTTGGCATTTTTTGCGAAAAGCGTATAGGATAATTCTACTTTGATACACACTTCAATTCGTGGTAGATGCATATTCACGACATCAATGGAAATAGATAAGTATCAATACCGTAAATCAATAGTAAGAATGAATGTGCATTCGCCAAGTTATCTAGCTTTTATATCAAAAGTTTTGATAGTGTTAAAGAACGTCTCTGAGTAAGTGACAACGAACAATATTCTGTTTTATCTTATTTGCGATAAAAGCAAGTTTAACAAGAACTACAATTTGTTGAAAACTATTTTCTCCATTTTTTTTTTTTTTCAAATTCAAGTTGGATTACTTTGCTTTATTTATTGACAAAATGTACTGAAGAATGGTATCCGGTTTATTAAAAAGATATTATCATGTCTTACGCTACTACAAATGATTAATATTGAATATCCGTAAGTTTGTGAAAAAGCTTTTAAATTTCAATTGTTCGAAATTCCGTCCACTTAATTTTGTTTAAACATTATACGTGTTTGGTGTGTGAATTCTCGTTTTAATGATATCACGATGATGTTGTAAACATTATATGCAAACATATGTTAAAATGCCGAATTGTTTCAGCTACACATGTTTTCATAAAATGCGTCATTAGTAATATTTGTGAAATCATAAACATACGTGAATTTATCAACGTCTGATTTTTTATTGCATAATTTGGCAAAATGCATGTCAATTCTCTGAAAATTTAACAGTGGCGCCACCCATCGCCGACAAGTTTGCTGACATATTCTAAATATACCATATTCTTTACTATTCATAGAGAGGTGGCGCTACACATGAAATCATAAGGTCGAAAGAGATGACAGATTTCTAGAAAAATGAACTAAAATGAAATCTATTTCTACTTCAAAATGATATATATGTAGTATATGATACAGGTATACTTTTTCTTGTAGTACAGTGTCAAACGATACATTTAGTAAAACATACACAGAAGATTTACTGAAACAATTCAAGTTTGAAAAATACATCTTTACAAGGTCGTGTATATGAGAAACTGGCTCTATTTATGTAATGATCTACCTCAAAAGGTTGAATTAATTGAATCTACGAAAGTAAAAATATTACATTTGGCGCTTCGATTTTTAGATTTAGTTTAACCAGTTCTGAACCCATACACAAATTCTAGATAATCTGAAATATTGCACAATTACGTATGCTTTGCTTTTAAAAACAGACAATAGTTTTCTGCTGACGAGCACATGTTATTGAAAATCAAAACCCACCAAAATAATTCTTGTAACAAGAAGAAAGAGTTGCATAATTATTCAGTCGAAGCAATAGCAGTATCTTTAAATGATTCTTTAGGATTTTGACTTTTTTGACGTATTGTTGAATTTCCATTGCTATGTTTTTGTGTAGCCTTTATATAGGTTATTGATTTTTTTTTTCTATAATTGAGATAAAACACAATTGTTTAGATTAATTTAATAACAGTAAACTCTCTCAATGCGTTAAGAAGAAGGTATCTACACAAATGACAACTACAATGAGGTCAACGGCCGAGTAAAATATCTAATATTCAAAGGTTGTAATTAAAATCCAATTCGTATAGAAAAGCTAACTAAATAATACCAATATCGGATAACTGGCCTTATTCTGTTGAAATATAGTGTTCCATCTCTTAATTTTTACACAATAAAAACCCTGTACACACTGAAGGTAAACGTAAGTACAAGGACTCAACCATTATTTCTATTTATTTTCATTTAAAAAGTTATTTAGAAAATCAAATCAGAAAAGAAATCTGCAACTGGATTTTCTCGATGTTCTTTCATAATTCAACATGCACCTTTGATTGGGGTCTGTTATATATTGCCCACATAGAGAACGAAGAACTTTATCTCTCATCACACTGAAGGAAATCATATGAATAAATGACAATACAAAAACTGGAAACAAAATTTCATTGATTCCATGCGTTCGACGCGGCTTTTTTATATACGTTCATCAGGAACGCTCAAAGCCGAGTATTTTTTTAGCAAAGCAAGTGTAAGAACCGAAACATTTGAAGATCAAAATGACCAAAAAGGAACTTAAATCTGGTCAAATACATCTAAGGTCAATTTGCCTGTGGAAGTTGAAACATTAGTTTCTTAATAATTTATAAATTAATAAACGGCAAATTTAAGAAAGGTTTGTTATAAATCCTGTCGAAGTACTAACTACTGAGCTGATGATACCCTCGGGGACTGACAGTCCGGCAGTACCCATCGACCGATTGCGGTAAAAATTGAAAACATCGCGTTAGAAATGGTATGCACATTTCTGGAATTACCTTCATCAGGAACGCTCAAAGCGTAAATATGGTTTTTAATATTCTGCAATGTGATACGACATTGTTACGTTCCAATTAACGTTTGGTTAGGTAAATATTGAAGCGCACACTAAGCCCTAAAATATATAATGATACGTTTGACGCCGGAAGCATACTCATAACATCAAACTGTCACTGTGTAAATATTAACACCATGTTTCAAGGAACTTGGAGTTATGGTAGTAATACACCAAAAACAATAACCAAAATATAATAGTCACTTTGCATTAAACTAGAAATAATAATATTTTTGTTAGACAATCTTATACAATACCGTAAATTGGGATATTATGGCTGAATTCAAATTTTGCCTTTGTTTGGCGATAAAGACATGGAAGATGCAAGTGTCAAATGTAAAGACACACAGAAATGAAACGATAATCAAAAATGCTACAAACAAATTTTCAATAATCTGATGTAAACATAACATTCATAATGTGTTATGATTACAGTAAAGCAGAAAACTTGACACATATATAACCTTATTTAAAAAGCAATAACAGAGATTATATAATAAGTACACTGAACTTCTCCGGGTGAGGGATTGTCTCTCTGCGTAGACCATTGGTGGCCTTAGGCTGTTCTCTGCTTATTGGTTGCTGTCCCTTTGACACAATCACTGTTTCTAATATCTTTTATATTTCCTTGTTCAAAGATCACTTGCGAAAGGAATATTGTTATAAATCCTAAATTCAAACTCTATTTAGTCTACCGTAACTTCTTATTTCAATTACTGACAATTACGTAGATCGTCTATAAACAATACAACAGTTCTACTTGTTTATTTTCGACTTATGAGTTTGAATGTTCCTTTGGTATCTTTCGCCTCACTTCTACTTGTTATACTGATGGTCTTTGTCTTAAACGTTTTGTATTCTATATTTTATAAACTATTCATCTATAACACTAATTTGACAGTTATTTTTTTTGGCAAAAAATTGAAAATTAAAACGCGCAATATTTTACAAGCCAACATTTATCCTCTAATTTTATGGTAAAAGCATAAAATATCCTGATTTACGGTACATCTTTGTCCTTAATGGAGGTCGTTTGCACTTATGCAACGACACAAAGTGAGTCATATATATTTGACTAAATATGCGCCATCAAGTCTCAGTTGTTTTTATCTTGAAAATGAATAACTCGAGTCTACATCAAACTAAAGCTTATCAACTCGTTATTTATTTCAATAATTATAATATACTCGGCAATTCCTATTTCTCACTTGTTATAAAACCTACAAATTAAGATTTCCAGATTTTAATCTCAAATGCCATAAGAAATCCGAAAGCTGCTTGTGCGAGGTTTGAAATTACGAAAAAGATGAGACATCTTGGAATCCGATATGCAATGATCCAAATCGAACCAAATAATTCAATATTTGTATAGCATTTTCTCCTGTACTGAGTAACGACATGTACAATGTTATACACATATTGCAAGTTCACTTATCCAGATTGGATAGGCTAAATGAAGCTTAAAACAAAAACTGGTAGTATTCCACCATATTTTATAGACCAGGTACCACGACAGATTTATTTGTTTGTCTTACTTTTTGGTTTACTTTTTATTTGGAGAATTTAGTTTTGTGGCAGATTTAAAGTCCCGTTTTTAATTTCA